TTGGCAAATGACATTCTCTAAAAAAATAGAGGGTGGGCGGGTGGGGCTAGTACTTGCTAAGATAAGAGTGATTTTAGCAAATTACGTATCCTCTAAGAAATTTAATTAAATTATATTAAGAAAAGACACTGAGAGGCTCAAAAGCACTTTCAAATTCTTTCGAAACAGGAATGCTTAGAACCTCAAGCGTGTTTTAAATTTTTCAAAAAAAAGCAGTCCCCAAAATTAACTCAAAAACAGGTCAGGTCAGTATTTTCCAAAAATAGAACGGGCTTATCTTAGCAAGTACTACCCATCCTCCATTTTCTTAGAGGGTATTTCATAAGTCTTATCTTAGCACGTACTAGCCCATCCCACCTGCCCCGTATCTTCTCAGAGGAGAATGAGAGACAGAGTGATAAATGGGAGAATGAGAGAAAGTAATAAATGAAAGAATGAGAGAGAAAGCGATAAATGGGGGAATGGGAGAGACTCATAAATGAGAGAATAAGGGAGAGTGATAAGTAGGAGAATGACAGAGAAAGCGATAAATGGGAGAATGAGAGAGAAAGCGATAAATGGGGGAATGAGAGAGAGTGATAAATAGGAGAATGCCAGAGAATGATAAATGGCAGAATGAGAGAGAAAGCGATAAATAAGGGAATGAGAGAGAGTGATAAATGGGAAAATGAGAGAGAGAGAGCGATAAATGGGAGAATGAGGGAGAGTAATAAATGAAAGAATGAGAGAGAAAGCGATAAATGGGGGAATGAGAGAGAGTGATAAACGGGAGAATGAGAAAGAGTGATTAATGGGAGAATGAGGGAGAATGATAAATGGGAGAATGACAGAGAGAGTGATAAACTAGAGAAACTAAAAAATTAAAAATCTAGAAGTTGAAAAATCGAAAAATTGAGAATTGAAAATTAAGAAATCGAAAAATAGAGAAGTTGAAAATTAAAAACTCTTAGAATAAATGAAAAATTGAAAAATGTAGAAACTAAAAATCGGAGTATAAAAAATTCAAAAGTTCAAAGATATTGAAATATTCATATTTAAAAAAATCGAAAAATTGCAAAATAAAAATCGAAAATTTAAAAGAAAAACTTAAAAAGTATGAATCTAAATTTTAAAAATTCGCAGGATGATAATTCGAAAATTTGTAAAATCGAAAAACTGAAGAGAAGTGATATTGAATAATATAATAATAATAAAAACTGAAAAATCAAGAATCCAAAAATAGAGTGATAAATGGGAGAAAGAATGAGAGAAACAGTGATAATTGGGAGAATGAGAGAGAGAGAGAGAGAGAGCGATAAATGGGAGAATGAGAGGGAGTAATAAATGAGAGAATGAGAGAGAAAGCGATAAATAGGGAAATGAGAGAGAGTGATAAACGGGAGAATGAGAAAGAGTGATTAATGGGAGAATGAGAGAGAATGATAAATGGAAGAATGACAGAGAGAGTGATTAACTAGAGAAACTAAAAAATTAAAAATCTAGAAGTTGAAAAATCGAAAAATTGAGAATTGAAAATTAAGAAATCGAAAAATAGAGAAGTTGAAAATTAAAAACTCTAAGAATAAATGAAAAACTGAAAAATGTAGAAACTAAAAATCGGAGTATAAAAAATTCAAAAGTTCAAAGATATTGAAATATTCATATTAAAAAAAATCGAAAAATTGCAAAATAAAAATCGAAAATTTAAAAGAAAAGCTTAAAAAGTATGAATCTAAATTCTAAAATTCGCAAGCTGATAATTCGAAAATTTGTAAAATCGAAAAACTGAAGAGAAGTGATATTGAATAATATAATAATAATAAAAACTGAAAAATTAAGAATCGAAAAATAGAGTGATAAATGGGAGAATGAGAGAGAGAGTGATAAACTGGAGAACGAGAGAGAGTGATAAACGAGAGAATGAGAATGAGAGAAACAATGATAAATGGAAGAATGACAGAGAGAGTGATAAACTGGAGAATGAGAGAGAGTGATAAACGGAAGAATGAGAGAGAGTGATAAATGGTAGAATGAGAAACAGAGAGAGAGTGATAAATAGGAGAATGAGAAACAGTGATAAATGGGAGAATGAGAGAGAGAGTGATAAATAGGAGAATGAGAGAGAGAGTGATAAACGAGAGAATGAGAGAGATTGATAAATGGGAGAATGAGAGAGAGTTATAAATGGGAGAATGAGAGAAGCAGTGATAAATGTGAGAGTGAGAGAAAGGGTGATAAATGGTAGAATGAGAGAGAGTGGTAAATGAGAGAATAAGGGAGAGAGTGATAAATGGGAGAATGAAAGAGACTGATAAATGGGAGAATGGGGGAGAGACTGATAAATGGGAGAATGAAAGAGAGACTGATAAATGGGAGAATGAGGGAGAGAGTGATAAACGGGAGAATGAGAGAGTGATAAATGGGAGAATGAGAGAGTGATCAACGGGAGAATAAGAGAGAATGATCAACGGGAGAATGAGAGAGAGTGATAAACGGGAGAACGAGAAACAGTGACAAATGGGAGAATGAGAAAAAGAGTGATAAATGGTAGAATGTGACATAGTGGTAAAGGGAGAATGAGAGAAAGAGTGATAAATGGGAGAATGAAAGAGAGTGATAAAGGGAGAATGAGAGAAAGAGTGATAAATGGGTGAATGAAAGAGAGAGTGATAAATGCGAGAATGAAACAGAGAGTGATAAATGGGAGAATGAGAGAGAAAGCGATTAAGTTCCTGTTTAAGTTAAATTTTCTTAATATAATTAATTAAATTTCTTAGAGGATGCGTCGTTTGCCAAAATAAATCATATCTTAGCAAGTACTAGCCCTGCCCACCCGCCCCATATTTTCTCAGAGGATATGTTATTTGCAAAAATAAGTTTTATCTTAGCAAGTAGTAGCCCCACCCGTCCGCCCCCTATTTTCTTAGACGGTATCATTTGCAAAATCAGTCTCATGTTAGCAAGTATTAAATATATACATATAACATATAGAGTAGTCCAAGAGCTATAAGGTTATATGACCATCATAAAAGTGGTCTGCTAAACATTTCTTGCTTAGATTTAGATAATTAGTGAAAGTCGCCCCTGAACGAAATGACAACAGCCGGTCGAGCTGCAGTGGATACGTTATTTACGACCCTAATAAAACGTTTTCTATTGTAAACGATTTAACTTCGTCACAATGGGATAATTTAATGATGGCCATATAACCTTATAGTTCTTGGACTACTATACCATCTGTTTCTTTTATTTGATACGACCCTGTAACTTTTTTATTTTTAAAGATAAACGTATAGTTTTCCTACAGGGTGTTTAAAAAATGGCGCACCACTCTATGACGCATTGTTCAGGACCATTTATGGAGCCAGAGAAAAAATAATAGCCTGAAATCGATTGGACTTTTTTCATTATTTAAAAAGTGGCTAAATTTTCGTTTTTTAAGTGAACGTCAAATTGACGTAAAGAACTTTTTAATGATTTTTCACGAACTTGAAGTTGTGAATTTAATCATGTGTCATTGAGTTGGGCTTCATTTTTTGAACACCCTGTATCTAAAATGTGTAAAATATGTTGAGTAAAAACTGCGTCAAGTTACGACCTGCTTTTCGGACGAATTCGTTCTGTCAACACATTTTGGGTCACAAATTAAAAAATCACCCGCAATTTTATTGACAGTCGTTGAAAAAAAATGTGTGCCACGTGAGAAGAAAGTTTTTTTATTAGACTTGTAGTCCCACTAATGAGTAAGCAACGATTCCCGAACTAGTAACTTCAATGCCACAGAAACATGTATTTTACTATAAACACGTTTTCATTGATATCCTCTGTAATTAGAAGTCTCATTTATAGTAATTGTCTTATCTTGTTCCTTTCGCATTTATCGCCGTTTTACAATTTTTATTCACTTCCAGCCCAGAATAAATCTTAACAGGCACTTGACAACGCTCAAAGTACGTGTTAACTTACCTTAATCCCGTGGACGTTATATTTGTTTTTGCATTTTTAAAAATAGAATATTCAAATTTCGTGATGATTCACTTTACTGTTTTGCTTTGACAATTATCAGGTATAAAAACTGCGCACTGTCTATCGCTAGGATATATAGTTTAATTAAGTTACCAAAAACGAAAACAGACTAACTAAAAAAAATTACCACAGAACTAATTTCTCATTTTTAGTATGTGTAATATTTTTGAACAGCGGCACAATTAGTACCGTCCGCTTTTGGACGAAGCGGTCCACGTCTAACATATACGTGTGTCATATCAAAAATAAACTTAAACAGGAAGTGCCAATTTTGTCTCTACGTTCTGCGGTTTTCCTGGAGTCAGTTCGATTGTCCGCACATTAGAGACCCGATTTTCCTGTTTGTCAAAACTGATCAAAAAATCGGTCCTTCGAACCGGATCCAGCTCTAACGCATTCCGAGCGTGCGAAATCAATAACAATCTACCTTTGTGTGTGTTATGGTGCACCACGTCCCCGCCTCCTCTCCTCCGAACAGAATTTCTTTAAAATATGTAATAAATAGATATTTAAATACAGTCCAGAATTTATTTTTAGATGCGTTCAGTAACACGTGCACTCATGTACATGGTAATAACATGTAGAGCTGTCTCAGTTACCTACAACACGCATGAAATATATTTATAGTTCGTTATCTGTGTGTTTTAATTGATGTGCAAATCACGGAAAATCCGAACAATAGAGGATTTTGACTCGCACATTTATAATTAGATAGTTGTGATACTTACAAAAATAGCGAGTCTGACATAAATAAGCTTCACCTCACGCTTTAATAAAAACCTGAACTTTTTTTAACGAGAGATCTATGTCGTATGACTGTGCGGTCAGCGGCGTAGGCCATTTTTCATCTCGGACGTCATCTGCCGGAAACTAGTGGAGTTAAGGGGGGAGTGGCTAGATGGCGCGTTTGTCGCTGACTTGGTGCAACGCGATTGGTTGCCTTTAACTTCCAGTTCGAAATAGTAGTTGTGATTTTTTTTTTTTTTTCTTTCCAGACAATATCGGGAGCGATGTCGACTTTAAGTCCTCCCGTGCAACTCGAAAAGCCAGAAAACCAAGCCCGAGTGGACTGGATCCAGGATTGCGCTACTGGTCCAGACTTCGATTACCCACCCGAGTTCTATGAACATACAGAGGCTCTCTGGAAAGACAGAGGCGTACAGGTAGAGTATTTTGGGCGCCCTCTGGCGACTCGGACGTCGCCTTACCGTAGCGCGTTGTAATTGTTTGTCCTGGTAGGACGAAGCAATTATCACGTGTTAATGTTTCAGCGAAAATTTGGTCGGTTAATTATTGGTTGCTACGAGTATTGATAAAATGTCAATATTTGTCTTTTAATAATGCACAGAACGGTTCACAATATGTGACTGATGATGGATTTCAGGAAATTAGTGCTTCCCAATGCGAATGCGGGGACATTAAGGGAGCCGCTGTAGTGTAATACGCTAAATTGTTAATGAATATTAGACATCTCGATGCCGTTTGCGGCGGCGGTGAGGTTAAGTGGGGCAATTGAGAGGTTGTCGGAAAAAATTTCGGCGCTGTAAGTGGACTTTGGAACGGTTCGATTGTACAATAACGTCGTATAAACATTTGATTCTAAAGTAAATTTCACGGCTTACCAGACGACTTTTTACTTTGGTCGTCGTCGTCTCAAAGCGTGTTTTTGCAGGCCACGTACGACAGAAGTAACGAATACCAGTTGATAGATTGTGCGAAGTACTTCCTTGATCAAGTGAGCGTAATCAAACAACCCAATTACACTCCAACAGAACAGGACATCCTGCGCTGCCGTGTACTTACCAGCGGCATATTCGAAACGCTCTTCCAGGTTGACAAAGTCAACTTCCAGTAAGCCCCGCCCCCGTTTTCCGTCAAGGTCGCTTTTCACAGAACCTCTTTCCGCAGCATGTTCGACGTCGGTGGCCAAAGGGACGAAAGACGAAAATGGATCCAGTGTTTCAATGACGTCACGGCGATCATATTCGTCACGGCGTGTAGCTCATACAACATGGTGTTGCGGGAGGATCCCACCCAGAATAGGCTGCGCGAGAGCCTCGACCTGTTCAAGTCCATATGGAACAACAGGTGGTTGCGTACCATTTCCGTCATCCTTTTTCTCAATAAGCAGGACCTGCTCGCGGAAAAAATTCTTGCAGGTGGGTGGTGGGTGAAGAGTTGGCGGAGGGTTAAAGGGCGGCGTTTCTGTTCGCAGGTAAAAGCAAACTCGAGGAGTACTTTGCTGAATTCGCGCGGTATACGCCGCCGCAGGACGTCGCGAACGATGCAAACGAGCCTCCTGAGGTGTTTCGCGCTAAGTACTTCATAAGAGACGAGTTCCTGGTGAGTATGGGTGAGGGAGGGGTGAGAGACGACGATACGAAAAAAGAGCTGCTTTGAGTGCGATTGAGAACGGTAAATTTAACATTCTTAGGGTTGCAACACCTTCTAGAAGAATAGGTATCGCTTCGAAAGCATTTTGTCAAAGTCACAGTTTTCTACACTGTTTTTGATGTCCATCCTTTTTTTCTTTGGTGCTTCTCGATGTTTTGTAGTTTTTTCTACACTTGGTTGAATTGAAGAAAGACAGGAAACTTCTTCAGTTATCTTCCTTTTCCAATTTCAGCCTGTTCTAGGTTCGAAATTCTTTAGCATCTTCCTGAAGACTTGTCCATCGATGTATCTTTAAGAATGACTAACTAATTCAGGAACTCGTCAGCTCTGCTTTTTCTGGTTACAAAGCAGAAACTTTCAGAAATGCTTCTACTTCTTCGATAGACTGTTGGAAATGTGGTCACAGATTCTTCTTAAGATCCTATTCTACTTAAGGATTTACTGGATCTTCTGGTCTTGGTTTACGTTGCTTCCAGCAACGGCCTAGAAATCCCTCCTTTTTTTAATTTTTTTGTAAAACTCTTCTAGGCTGTCCTGATGTTCTTCTATAGAATTTTCTCAATTCTTCCGGCTCTGAACTCGAAAATTTTCTGGAAACGCCATTCTCAATCCTTTTTCATGGTTATCAACGAAACTAACTAGAATATTCTAGAAGCTTCAGGAAACTTCTTTAGTTATCTTCTTTTTCCTATTTTAACCTATTCTACGTTCTAAATTCTTTAGGATCTTCTCGAAGACTTCTCTTCCTATGTCCATTTGAGAATGACTAATTCAGAAACTCGTCAGTTCTGCTTCTTCTAGTTACAAAGTAGAAACTTCCAGAAATGCTTCTATTTCTTCCACAGAATATTTGGGAATGTGGTCGAAGTTTCTTCTTACAATCTTATTCTATTTCCGAATTTTTTAGATCTTTTGGTCTTGATTTACGTTGTTTCCAGCAACGCCCTAGAAATCCCTCCTTTTTTTTATTTTTTTGTAAAACTCTTCTAGGCAGTCCTGATGATGTTCTTCTATAGAATTTTCTCAATTCTTCTGGCTCTGAACTCGAAAATTTTCTGGTAACGTCATTCTCAATCCTTTTTCATGGTTATCAACGAAACTAGCTAGAATATTCTAGAAGCTTCAGGAAACTTCTTTAGTTATCTTCTTTTTCCTATTTTAACCTATTCTACGTTCTAAATTCTTTAGGATCTTCTCGAAGACTTATCTTCCGATGTCTATTTGAGAATGACTAATTCAGGAACTCGTCAGCTCTGCTTCTTCTAGTTACAAAGTAGAAACTTCCAGAAATGCTTCTATTTCGAACACAGAATATTTGGGAATGTGGTCGAAGTTTCTTCTTACAATCTTATTCTATTTCCGAATTTATTAGATCTTCTGGTCTTGGTTTACGTTGTTTCCAGCAACGGCCTAGAAATCCCTTCTTTTTTTATTTTTTTGTAAAACTCTTCTAGGCTGTCCTAATGATGTTCTTCTATAGAATTTTCTCAATTCTTCTGGCTCTGAACTCGAAAATTTTCTGGTGACGCCATTCTCAATCCTTTTTCATGGTTATCAACGAAACTAGCTAGAATATTCTAGAAGCTTCAGGAAACTTCTTTAGTTATCTTCTTTTTCCTATTTTAACCTATTCTACGTTCTAAATTCTTTAGGATCTTCTCGAAGACTTATCTTCCGATGTCTATTTGAAAATGACTAATTCAGGAACTCGTCAGCTTTGCTTCTTCTAGTTACAAAGTAGAAACTTCCAGAAATGCTTCTATTTCGAACACAGAATATTTGGGAATGTGGTCGAAGTTTCTTCTTAGAATCCTATCCTATTTATAGATTTACTAGATCTTCTGGTGTAGATTTACGTAGTTTCTAACAAGGGCCTAGAAATCCCTACTTTCTTTATTTTTCTGTAAAACTCTTCCTGCTCTGTCAAGATATGTTCTTCTATGGAATTATCCAGAATTTTTTCAATTCCTCCGGCTCTGAACTGTAAAATTTTCTGGAAACGCCATTCCCCAGAAATGCTTCTATTTCTTCGACAGAATGCTTGGGAATATAGTCGAAAATTATTCATAAAATCTCTTTCCATATGTAGATTTACTAGATCTTCTAGTCTTGATTCTAAAATCTAAAATTTTCTGGAAACGCTCTTTTGAACCCTTTCTTGTTGGGTATCACTAGAATATTTTAGAAGCTTCAGGAAAATTCTTCAGTTTTCTTCTTTCTTCAAATTCAAGCTATTCTATGCTGTTTGATGTCTACTTGAGATGATGTTTCTAGTTATAGATATGTTCTTCTATGGAATTTTCTAGAATTTTCTCAATTCCTCCGATTATCATCGAAATTTACTAGAATGTTCTAGAAGCTTCAGGAAACTTCTTCAGTTTTCTTCTTTCTTCAATTTTAACCTGTTTTAGATTCGGAATTTTCGAGAATCTTTTCGAAGATCTGCCGCTTGAGATGTTGTTTCTAGTTACAAAAAAAAAAAAAACAACAGAAACTTCTAGAAATGCTTCTCTATTTCTTCGGCAGACTCTTTGGGAATGTGGTCGAAGATTTATCGTAAAATCGCTTTCTGTTTATGGATTTTAACTGGATCTTTTGGTTTTGTTTTATATAGTTTCTAACGACGAACTGCCTAGAATCTCCTTCTTTCTTCACTTTTCTGTAAAACTTCTACACTATACTGCCAACAGAATGTTCTTCTTTCTAGAAAGTTCGAATTTTTTTCAGTTCTAAAATCTAAAATTTTATGGAAACGCTGTTCTGAACCCCCTTTTTTGATGGGTATCACTAGAATATTCTAGAAGTTTCAGGAAAATTCTCCAGTTTTCTTCTTTCTTCAATTTCAAACTGTTCTACGTTCGGAATTTTTGAGAATCTTCTCGAAAATTTTCTGGAAACGGTGTTCTCAATCCTTTCTTGATGGGTGTCATCGAAATTCACTGGAATATTCTAGAAGCTTCAGGAAAATTCTTCAGTTTTCTTCTTACTTTTTGTAAAACTCTTCTACACTACCAGGAGAATTTCGTTTATGAAATCTTCTAGAATTTTCGCATTTTTCCATTTCTAAAATTTAAAATTTTCTGGAAGCGCTCTTCTGAACCCTTTTTGATGGATATCACTAGAATATTCTAGAAGTTTCAGGAAAATTCTCCAGTTTTCTTCTTTCTGCAATTTCAAACTGTTCTACGTTCGGAATTTTTGAGAATCTTCTCGAAAATTTTCTGGAAACGGTGTTCTCAATCCTTTCTTGATGGGTGTCATCGAAATTCACTGGAATATTCTAGAAGCTTCAGGAAAATTCTTCAGTTTTCTTCTTACTTTTTGTAAAACTCTTCTACACTACCAGGAGAATTTCGTTTATGGAATCTTCTAGAATTTTCGCATTTTTCCAGATCTAAAGTTTAAAATTTTCTGGAAGCGCTCTTCTGAACTCTTTTTGATGGATATCACTAGAATATTCTAGAAGCTTCAGAAAAAATATTTGGTTTTCTTCTTTCTTCAATTTCAACCTGTTGTAAGTTCGGAATTTTTGAGAATCTTCTCGAGGATCTGCCGTTTGATGTCTGCTTGAGATGATGTTTCTAGTTACAAAAGAGGAATTCTACTTCTTGAAATTCTTCTATTTATTCAACAGACCTTTTGGGAATTTGGTCGAAAATTCATCATAAAATCGCGTTTTCAATTTATGGATTTAAACTGGATCTTTTGGTTTTGTTTTAGATAGTTTCCAACAACGAATTGCCTAGAATTTCCTCCTTTCTTCATTTTTCTGTAAAACTTGTCCAGAGCCAGGAGAATATTCTTCTATGGAATTTTCTAGAATTTTCGCATTTTTTTCAGTTCTAAAATCTAAAATTTTCTAGAAATGCTCTTCTGAACCCTTTTTTGATAGCTATTACTAGAATATTCTAGAAGTTTCAGGAAAATTCTCCAGTTTTCTTCTTTCTTCAATTTCAACCAGTTCTACGTTCGGAATTTTTTAGAATCTTCTCAAAGATCTGCCGTTTGATATCTACTTGAGATGATGTTTCTAGTTACAAAAGAGAAACTTCTACTTCTAGAAATTCTTCTATTTCTTCAACAGACCTTTTGGGAATTTGGTCGAAAATTCATCATAAAATCGCGTTTTCAATTTATGGATTTAAACTGGATCTTTTGGTTTTGTTTTACATAGTTTCCAACGACGAATTGCCTAGAATTTCCTCCTTTCTTCATTTTTCTGTAAAACTTGTCCAGAGCCAGGAGAATATTCTTCTATGGAATTTTCTAGCATTTTCGCATTTTTTTCAGTTCTAAAATCTAAAATTTTCTAGAAATGCTGTTCTGAAACCTTTTTTGATGGCTATCACTAGAATATTCTAGAAGTTTCAGGAAAATTCTCTAGTTTCCTTCATTCTTCAATTTTAACCTGTTCTACGTTCGGAATTTTTGATAATTTTCTCAAAGATCTGCCGTTTGATGTCTAGTTAAGATGATGTTTCTAGTTACAAAAGAGAAACTTCTACTTCTAGAAATTCTTCTATTTTTTTCAACGGACCGTTTGGGAATGTGGTTGAAAATTCATCATAAAATCGCGTTTTCAATTTATGGATTTAAACTGGATCTTTTGGTTTTGTTTTACATAGTTTCCAACGACGAATTGCCTAGAATTTCCTCCTGTCTTCATTTTTCTGTAAAACTTGTCCAGAGCCAGGAGAATATTCTTCTATGGAATTTTCTAGAATTTTCGCATTTTCTTCGGTTCTAAAATGTCAAATTTTCTAGAAACGCTCTTCCGAACCGGTTCTTGATGGGTAAGAATATTCTATAAGTTTCAGGAAAATTCTCCAGTTTTCTTCTTTCTTCAATTTCAACCTGTTTTACGTTCGGAATTTTTGAGAATCTTCTCGAAGATCTGCCGTTTGATGCCTGCTTGAGATGATGTTTCTAGTTACAAAACAGAAACTTCCACTTCTAGAAATGCCTCTATTTCTTCAACAGACCTTTTGGGAATTTGGTCGAAAATTCATCATAAAATCGCGTTTTCAATTTATGGATTTAAACTGGATCTTTTGGTTTTGTTTTACATAGTTTCCAACGACGAATTGCCTAGAATTTCCTCCTTTCTTCATTTTTCTGTAAAACTTGTCCAGAGCCAGGAGAATATTCTTCTATGGAATTTTCTAGCATTTTCGCATTTTTTTCAGTTCTAAAATCTAAAATTTTCTAGAAATGCTGTTCTGAAACCTTTTTTGATGGCTATCACTAGAATATTCTAGAAGTTTCAGGAAAATTCTCTAGTTTCCTTCATTCTTCAATTTTAACCTGTTCTACGTTCGGAATTTTTGATAATTTTCTCAAAGATCTGCCGTTTGATGTCTAGTTAAGATGATGTTTCTAGTTACAAAAGAGAAACTTCTACTTCTAGAAATTCTTCTATTTTTTTCAACGGACCGTTTGGGAATGTGGTTGAAAATTCATCATAAAATCGCGTTTTCAATTTATGGATTTAAACTGGATCTTTTGGTTTTGTTTTACATAGTTTCCAACGACGAATTGCCTAGAATTTCCTCCTGTCTTCATTTTTCTGTAAAACTTGTCCAGAGCCAGGAGAATATTCTTCTATGGAATTTTCTAGAATTTTCGCATTTTCTTCGGTTCTAAAATGTCAAATTTTCTAGAAACGCTCTTCCGAACCGGTTCTTGATGGGTAAGAATATTCTATAAGTTTCAGGAAAATTCTCTAGTTTCCTTCATTCTTCAATTTTAACCTGTTCTACGTTCGGAATTTTTGATAATTTTCTCAAAGATCTGCCGTTTGATGTCTAGTTAAGATGATGTTTCTAGTTACAAAAGAGAAACTTCTACTTCTAGAAATTCTTCTATTTTTTTCAACGGACCGTTTGGGAATGTGGTTGAAAATTCATCATAAAATCGCGTTTTCAATTTATGGATTTAAACTGGATCTTTTGGTTTTGTTTTACATAGTTTCCAACGACGAATTGCCTAGAATTTCCTCCTGTCTTCATTTTTCTGTAAAACTTGTCCAGAGCCAGGAGAATATTCTTCTATGGAATTTTCTAGAATTTTCGCATTTTCTTCGGTTCTAAAATGTCAAATTTTCTAGAAACGCTCTTCCGAACCGGTTCTTGATGGGTAAGAATATTCTATAAGTTTCAGGAAAATTCTCCAGTTTTCTTCTTTCTTCAATTTCAACCTGTTTTACGTTCGGAATTTTTGAGAATCTTCTCGAAGATCTGCCGTTTGATGCCTGCTTGAGATGATGTTTCTAGTTACAAAACAGAAACTTCCACTTCTAGAAATGCCTCTATTTCTTCAACAGACCTTTTGGGAATGTGGTCGAAAATTCATCATAAAATCGCGTTCAATTTATGGATTTAAACTGGATCGTTTGGTTTTGTTTTACATAGTTTCTAACGACGAATTGCCTAGAATTTCTTCCTTTCTTCATTTTTCTGTAAAACTTGTCCAGAGCCAGGAGAATATTCTTCTATGGAATTTTCTAGAATTTTCGCATTTTCTTCAGTTCTAAAACCTAAAATTTTCTGGAAACGCTCTTCCGAACCCTTTTCGATGGATATCACTAGAATATTGTATAAGCTTCAGGAAAATTCTCCAGTTTTCTTCTTTCTTCAATTTCAACCTGTTGTAAGTTCGGAATTTTTGAGAATCTTTTCGAAGATCTGCCGTTTGATGTCTGCTTGAGATGATGTTTCTAGTTACAAAAGAGAAACTTCTACTTCTAGAAATTCTTCTATTTCTTCAACAGACCTTTGGGAATTTGGTCGAAAATTCATCATAAATTCGCATTCTATTTATGGAGTTAAACTGGATCTTTTGGTTTTGTTTTACATAGTTTCCAACGACGAATTGCCTAGAATTTCCTCCTTTCTTCATTTTTCTGTAAAACTTGTCCAGAGCCAGGAGAATATTCTTCTATCGAATTTTCTAGAATTTTCGCATTTTTTTCAGTTCTAAAACCTAAAATTTTCTAGAAACGCTCTTCTTAGAAGTTTAAGGAAAATTCTTCAGTTTTCTTCTTTCTTCAATTTTAAGCTGTTTTACGCTCGGAATTTTTGAGAATCTTCTCGAAGATCTGCCGTTTGATGTCTACTTGAGATGATGTTTCTAGATACAAAACAGGAACTTTTACTTCTAGAAATGCTTGATGGGTAGAATATTCTAGAAGTTTCAGAAAAATTCTCCAGTTTTCTTCTTTCTTCAATTTCAACCAGTTCTATGTTCGGAATTTTTGAGAATCTTCTTAAAGATCTGCCGTTTGATGTCTACTTGAGATGATGTTTCTAGTTACAAAACAGAAACTTCTACTTCTAGAAATTCTTCTATTTCTTCAACAGACCTTTTGGGAATGTGGTCGAAAATTCATCATAAAATCGCGTTTTCAATTTATGAATTTAAACTGGATCTTTTGGTTTTGTTTTACATAGTTTCTAACGATGAATTGCCTAGAATTTCCTCCTTTCTACATTTTTCTGTAAAACTTTTCTACACTCCCAGGAGAATCTTCTTCTATGGAATTTTCTAGAATTGTCGCATTTTTTGCAGTTCTAAAATCTAAAATTTTCTGGAAACGCTGTTCTCAATCCTTTCTTGATGGATATCATCGAAACACACTAGAATATTCTAGAAGCTTAAGAAACATTGTTCAGTTTTTTTCTTTCTTCAATTTCAACCTGTTCTACGTTCGGAATTTTTGAGAATCCTTTTGAAAATCTGCCATTTGATGTCTGTCAAAAAATGACTGATTCAGGAACTCCTCAGTTTTGCTATTTCTAGTTACAAAACAGAAACTTCTAGAAATGCTTTTATTTCTTCCATAGAATGTTCGAGAATGTGGTCTGATCTTGTTTTACATTGCTTCCACCAACGAATTGTTTAGAAATCAATCCTGTCTTTATTTTATAACAAAATTGTTCTAAACTGTCAGAAAAATGATCTTTTAACGAATTTTCCAGAACTTCTATAATTCTTCTGGTTCTGAAATCTAAAATATTCTTGAGAATATTTTAGAAACCTAATGAAACATCGTAAGTTATCTTCTTTCTTCAATTTCAATCTGTTCCATCTTCGGAATTTTTTAGAATCTTCTTGAATATCCATCAATTAACTTTTTCTGGAAATGTATTTTCACATAGAAGAATCTTTTTTTTTGAATTCCGATTGCGATTGTAATTCTTGTCTGCTGTCATTTTTTAAACTAAATTCTTCAAAATCTTTCGTGAAACGGAATAAAATTGTACTCTTTGCTTCCGTTCTCGAGAGGACGTTACCCGAACCTTCTTGGCTAAAAATTCTCGAAAACAAAAAAAGGCTTAAAAATGATCAAGTAAATAGAGAAAATGGGATAAAAATAGACAACAATGGACCAAATTTGACAAGCGACTGTCGTTTCCATCTTCCGGCTCGCGCGTTTTTATCTTCAGATTTACGTATCGTAAAGTTGGCTAAAAGCCGAAAAAGAAAAGCCGCGCTTTTTTTATGATGTGATCTGTTGCGTTCCGCTCTATTTTCGTATCGTCGGATCAGTGGCTCGAACGTGATAACCAGATTCTAAACCGTGGGCGTCCTTTGTCTTTTTCAGCGCATAAGTACAGCCTCTGGTGAAGGCAAGCACTATTGTTATCCTCACTTTACTTGTGCCGTTGATACGGAGAATATCAAGAGAGTGTTTAACGACTGCCGTGATATCATTCAGCGTATGCACCTTCGCCAGTATGAACTCTTATAACCGCCCACCTCATTTTTTAGTCTGTTTTGTCTCCAACGCTTTCTTACTAACAAGTCGATTCCATTATGCTTACGTTTGTCAAGTTAATACAATAGAAAATGTAACAAAAAATGATAAAAAAAAAACGAGAAATACGAACACACACACACTCACACACACAACACACACAAAACCGTAGGACCAACCGAGACAACGCATTACTTTCTATGATAGTGTCAATAAAAAGTTGAGAATTTGGCAAACGTAACGTGTTCCCTGTTGTCAGTCGCGTCACGTGGTATATTGTGTATCATTTCTAATGCATTTCATGGATCTGTTCGTATTTTGACAATTTTGTATTCGTTCTAGACGTCAGTATCATGAAAAAAAGTACAAATCACTGAAGTTTCAGTCAATTTGCCATACTAATCTGTTGCGTTCGATTGCGTTTTTTGTTTTAATATCATAACCCATATGTGTTTTTCATGAACATCATTGTGATATCAAATTAGTGTTTATATAGATCATATAAAATAGCAAATAAGTTATTGATTTACCGAGTATTGTTTGTAAATTTACATGTTTATCTTTATTTTTCGCGGGTAGAGGCGGTTAGGTTAGGTTAGGAGGGCGCCACTGGCGTTTTAGACGAATCTGGTAGATCTGGGGCGGCGGCGGTCGCAAATGGTGCTCTCTTTTTTTCTATTGTAGAGGATCATGGTAAAAGTAGAGCGACCTCGCCCGGAAGCGTCTCTACACGTTCGATCGGTGAATTGTATGTTCATGAATTTTATTCATACTTTTGGAATTGTGATAATCTAAACTTTTTATACACTTATCAATGAATTGTTTGTAAAAAAAAGTCGAATTTCGTGTGCAATCTCATTTGAAAATTGGATCTTTAGCAGTTAACAATCATTATTTGTAACGATATATTTTTTATATGTTAACCTATTCTTAAAACAAAGTGTATTTATTTTTATTATCCGTTGAGATTAGAGTTAGTGCAATAATTTTAGTTGATCTGGCACAATCTTGATGTTTATATTGCTTTGAACTTTCCCTTTTGTGTTTCCATCTGATGATCTTCTGCTCAATTCAAAGAATACAGCTTCGTACTTAAGTCGTGTGTGCTGGGGTGGGGAGAGGGTCGCTATTGGCGCGCGTTTTTGAGTTGAGTAGATTAAGGTTTAGTTGTTGGTTTACTAATATACTACAGATAGTGTAAGCGATGGAGACTTTTAATTTTACAATCTGTAGATGCACAAAGAAGAGTGTGAATCTAGCTATATGTCCATGAAACCAACTTGTAAAATAAGGTACGGAACTAGTGTAATACATCACTATAGATCAGTGTATTTCGTTCTTCGTGTCACACTTTCGTTCTCGTTCATTTCTGTCCTCCTTGAGTTTTACCTTATTTGTGAGTTCGGTTCGGCGGGATTATCACTCTAATAAATTCATGCTTTTATTAGTTCGGTAGTGACTAATTAATAATAAAATATATATGTGCCGCTAGTCTAATAAACGGAACAATGAAATTACGTTTGTTCATTTTTTATTTCGGCGAGTTGCACTGTTCCAGTTTAAAAAGTTTACTGAATGTTATATTTGTTAATAAATTATAAATATTTATATCTGTAAAAGTGAGTTTGTGGTCAAGTCGTAGAAACCTTTCTTTACTCGAAAACAAACAAAAAAATGAAAAAAAAAAATCTTTTACCGGCCAGAATATTCGATGTCAATGAATGTATAGATAAAAGTTTTACTTCTTGACTATATACACACTCTAAGATTCGGCTGACTGTATTATATCAGCATATTGCTCCATTTTCGTAGTCCGTTCTGTGTGAAATGCAGGAAGCTCTTGTTAAGTTTTTCTTTCGAATATTTTTATGTGTATTGTTTTCTCGTGGCGTCAGTAATATGCCGATAACATACATGAACCTGTTCTTCCTGGCTCCTGGTGACTCTGAGTGACCTAGGTCGTCGGGTATTGCACAACTGCAGTAAAAGCAATTTTGTCTAGGTATGGGAAATGTGTCAACGTGCGAATGGGTGCGCGCGCAGGTGTGTGTGAATTCATCGTTGTGAGCTGATCTAAGCAGTATTCTTTTGTTTTATTTGTTTATTGTTTTGCCAATATTGTATATGTGAACACAATGTGAGATTCAAAGCATGCGCATGGTGAAAACTGCCTGTAATGAATCTTGTATCTATAAATATATAAATAAATGAATAAAATATGAAATTATATGAAGATATGTAACTAAATGACCTGTAATAAATATGTCTTATTTAAAACGCTCGCTCTCTCTGTGAAAATCAGAACACCCACACCTGAGGCGCTCGCCTGGAAGGAACATGGAAGTGAGCGGCGGGAACTCGGAGTGGTCATAAAGTGACTACTTTGTGCGGTATGTGGGGAAATAAACAAACTGGTAAGTAAATGAGGCCATTAAAATATCACTGCGTCGACTATTAGATGTCTTATTTATGTGCGGTCATGTGGGAAATAGTACGCTGGCGAGGACGAGGAGACAAAGTGTAAACATGTGTTTTAAATTACTTTGACACCTACATAAAAGCAGGTTAGAATTATTCAAACTACCGAACTACTTCGTGTCTCATCATTTTTGTTCCTTGTGGTCGTGGTGACATTGGCGCACTTTTAGTCACCTTTTGTGTGGACTTCAAATAGAAGGTTTCTGATTGGATGAAACGCAAGGCCAAGGATGCAAAAGTAAGCAAAGTTAAAGATAATGGTGGAAATGAGGTCATCAAAGCTCTACAAGGAATAAACAGAATTGAGTTGAGGTTCTATACTCATCTACTGTAAAATTTGATGATTTAAGCATATCTATTTAGAAACAATTACTGTCACATTTATTTTCATAGTAAAAGCGTAGTTAATTTTAAATGTAAATAACAAATATTAATAGCATTGCTTGTGTATGCAATGAAAAATACACTTGCACTTTTATATTGAAACTTATTATTATTGTGTGGATTTCTACTCGTTGAGCTCTAAAAAAGCTTACTACAAACAAAATTTTATTAATAATTTGTGCTATTAATAAGACTCGAATAATATGCAAAATGTATAATTAAAAAAAAACTTTGAATGACTTAAAGGAAATAATCAAATTAAACGTTCTGAATCAATGCAAATATTTGAATATCACAAATTGAATAAAAACCAAGAAAAATCTTAATTAAAGTAACTGGATGCAAATACACAAGTTATTACGGACAAAAACCGGGAGTTTGGGGCTCCCGGTCGTGGCTGTTCTCCTACCCGCGACGGTGAGAATTGGTATCCAGAAACGTTATTCGTAATTTCCTAGTAAGTGATTTATCTAAATAAATCTAATGCCTGTTAAATTGTGTCAGCATCGGTTAACGATGAAAGTCCTAACCTGATCTGTTAATTTACAAACAATTAAACAAATTTACCGCACGTGTTAGCGTCGGTCGAAAATTAGCATTTTTCCGATTAGAATTAGCTGCGCGTGTTGGGGAAAACCGTGGCGTCGTCGTCGTTACGCCCTCTTTGACCAACCTTCTAACTAAAATTTCAAGCAGAACGACACACTACCCAAAAAAGCTAACGTGCACATGGTTGCCTATGTTTGACGATTTTTTTGATTGGATTTTTTTTCAAATTCAAATTATTCAACTTACACTTACTTAAAATATATTCAAAATGGTACATTTTTGTAGAGAAATATGGATTTTGCAATTAAGCTCCTCCCCTCCGTCTCACGACGAAAGAAAAATTTATCATAATTGAGATCGGGGCGTGTGGGGGGGGCTTAATATTTATATACAGTTTTCTCTCAACAATAGAATATTTGAAATATCAAATAGTGAATCTGAGGTCAGAATTATGTCGAACAATTTGTAAAAAAACAAAATGTCGGACATAATTCTAACCTCAATTTCACCATTTCACATTTTAAGTATTCTGTTGTTGAAAGAAAACTGTATTAAGAAAAAAAAAAAGACAAAAATTAAACCCCACCCACCCGCCCCAACCTCAGTTGTGCTGAAATGTTCATTCGTCGTGAGATATGAGGCGGAGTTTAATTGCAAAATCCCTATTTCTCTACAAAAATTTACCATTTTGAAAATGTTTTAAGTTTCTTATGAAAAGAAGATTAGATATATTCAAAAAACAAGGCTAAATATAAGCCCCACCCACCCACCCGGTCGCAGTTGTGATGATTTTTTTTTCATTCGACGTGAGCCGGGAGGAGGAGCTTAATTCCGAAATCCATATTTCTCTACAAAAAAACAAAGATTAAGCGCCACCCACCCTAATCAACAAAAAACGGTGAGTAATTTTCGAAAAAACTCGGGAAAAAGTCAAAATCTTCATACGACAAGGTTTTGAAAAATTGAGCTTTTGGGAAAATTGACTGAAAATCCATAAAAAAATCTGAGATGTAGATCTTGACAAGTTCAATCAAAAAGTATAGCCCTTTGATAGTCCTGCGCCAAGACCTTCGAAGTATTCGGTTTCAGAGTCGATTTTTTAAAATATCTCAAAAATCCTATTATTTCGTTTTGCGAATCCGGAAAAATAGTTGAAATTTTAGAGGAAATAAAGCCGAAAAACACTTAAGGAGTTCGAAATCAGAAAGAGGATCTCTTGAGAAATTTCGAAATGCTCAGGAATATGTCAAAAATTTCATATGGGAAGGTATTCAAAAATTGAATCTTTGGAAAAATTACTTAAAAATACTTCAAAATATCACAGAAATATCTCTCGACGAATTCGATCGAAACGTATATAAATTTCTGATAGTCTTGCATCAAGATTTTCAAAATATTCGGGTTCATTTTGACGATTCTGGAAAAATACTTGAAATTTTAGAAGAAGTAAAGCTTGAAGAGGTGTAAATCAACAATAGGAACTCTCTAGAGAACAATCGAAATGCTCATGAAAATATCAAAAATTTCATGAGAAAACTGAACTTTGCAAAAATTGATTAAAAATCCTTTAAAAAAATCTAGGAAATAGATCTTGATAAGTTCGATCAAAAACTATAGCGTTTTTGGTCCCGGACCAAGATTTCAAAATATTGGGTTTCAGAATCAGATTTTTAAAATATGTCAAAAATCGTGATATTTCATTTTGGTGATTCGGGGAAAATAGTTAGGAGTAAAATTTTAGAAGAAATAACGCCGAAAAAACACTTGAAGAGGTCGAAGTCAGCAACAGAAACTCTTTAGAGAACTATCAAAATGTTCAGGAAAATGTCAAAAATTTCATATGTGATGATTTTTTCTCATTCGTTGTCAGCCGGGAGGAGGAGATTAATTACAAAATCCACATTTTTCTACAAAAAATACGATTTCAATTTTTTTTAATAAAACCAAGTCTGAATAACATGCCTATAAAAAATTAGTAACAAATAAACAAGTAGAAAGGTTTTTAGATTATAAAAACGTATTATCTGTTCAAAATTGAAAGACCACTCAAAAAAACAAAGATTAAGGCCCACCCACCCTAATCAACAAAAAACGGTGAGTAATTTTCGAAAAAGCTCGGGAAAAGGTCAAAATCTTCATACGACAAGGTTTTGAAAAATTGAGCTTTTGGGAAAATGAACTAAAAAGCCATAAAAAAATCTAAGATGTAGATTTCGACAAGTTCAATCAAAAAGTACAGCGCTTTGATGGTTCTGCACCAAGACCTTCGGAGTATTCGGTTTTAGAGTCAATTTTTTAAAATAACCCAAAAATCCTATTATTTCATTTTGCGAATCTGGAAAAATAGTTGAAATTTTAGAGGAAATACAGCCGAAAAACACTTAAGGAGGTCGAAATCAGAAAGAGGATCTCTTGAAAAATTTCGAAATGCTCCGGAATATGTCAAAAATTTCATATGGGAAGGTATTCAAAAATTGAATCTTTGGAAAAATTACTTAAAAATACTTCAAAATATCACAGAAATAGCTCTCGACAAATTCGATCGAAACGTAGAGTTCTGATAGTCTTGCATCAAGATTTTCAAAATATTCGGTTTTATTTTGACGATTCTGGAAAAATACTTGAAATTTTAGAAGAAATAAAGCTTGAAGAGGTCGAAATCAGCAATAGGAACTCTTTAGAGGACTATCGAAATGCTCAGGAAAATATCAAAAATTTCACAAGAGAAAACTGAATTTTGCAAAAATTGATTAAAAATCCTTAAAAAATATAGGAAATAGATCTTGACAAGTTCGATCGAAAAGTATAGCGTTTTTGGCCCTGGACCAAGACTTCGAAATATTGGGTTTCAAAATCAGATTTTTAAAATATGTCAAAAATCGTAATATTTCATTTTGGCGATTCTGGGAAAATAGTTGGAAGTATAATTTCAGAAGAAATAACGCCGAAAAAACACTTGAAGAGGTCGAAGTCAGCAACAGGAACTCTTTAGAGGACTATCAAAATGCTCAGGAAAATGTAAAAAATTTCAAATTGGAGAGTACTGAAAAATTGAACTTTTGGAAACATTGCCTAAAGGAAGGAGGAGCTTAATTACCAAATCCATATTTCTCAATAAAAAATTTACCATTTTGAAAATGTTTTTTTAAGTTTCTTGTTATGAAAAGAAGATTAGATATATTAAAAAATCAAGGCTAAATATAAGCCCCGCCCACCTACCCGATCGCATTTGTGATGATTTTTTCTCATTCGTTGTGAGGCGGAAGGAGGAGCTTAATTACACAATCCATATTTCTCTACAAAAATTTACCATTCCCATTTTTTTTTTAATGAAACCAGTTCTGAATAACATGCCTATAAAAAATTAGTAACAAATAAACAAAGTATAGAAGTTTTTACATTATAAAAACGTATTGTCTGTTCAAAATTGAAAGACCACTCAAAAAAACCAAAGATTAAGCCCCACCCACTCTAATCAACAAAAAACGGTGAGTAATTTTCGAAAAAGCTCGGGAAAAGGTCAAAATCTTCATACGACAAGGTATTGAAAAATTGAGCTTTTGGGAAAATTGACTAAAAATCCATAAAAAAAATCTGAGATGTAGATCTCGACAAGTTAAGTCAAAAAGTATAGCGCTTTGATAGTCCTGCGCCAAGACCTTCGAAGTATTCGGTTTCAGAGTAAATTTTTTAAAATATCTCAAGAATCCTATTATTTCATTTTGCGAATCTGGAAAAATAGTTGAAATTTTAGAGGAGATAAAGCCGAAAAACACTTAAGGAGGTCGAAATCAGAAAGAGGATCTCTTGAAAAATTTCGAAATGCTCAGGAATATGTCAAAAATTTCATATGAGAAGGTATTAAA